TGTTGTGTGTTTAAAACTTGTTTTAAGAAATAAGCTCCATCAAATGGAAAACTAATAAAATATAACGGTCAAAAGAAACGAGGTATCATCATTTTAAGGTTACCCCTCCTATACTGTAAGTGCAAGTGTAATCTGTACACACAATAATAACTAATAACAAGGTGATATAGAAAAATGAGAGATTTAGTCATGTTTTGCTCCTGTTTAATATAAAAGGGAGATTTCGAAGTGTTTTACAGTCCTGTAAATCTCATTTCTAGTTGAAGACTTACATGTGGGCACAACTTTCAGTAAAAATAATTAAAATCGCTGCAGTACAGTATAGGCTGATGCCAATTAAAATAGTTAGATTGTCCCTTTTTCAAATAAAATATGAAATATCTTTACAAGCATCTCATTTTCCTCATTTCTAGCCTGACCACAAATCCTGGTTCTTGGATTTTAAGACCTGGGCAGAATAATGATAAATTCCAGGGGGAGGATGTGTATTTGAAGAGATGTTTAAAAACTGTTCAAATACTTGTCTGAAAAAGCAATAATGTTAGCACAATATTATTCCATTAAAAATGTGTATGCTGTCAGGCAGGCCGGAGTTATTTTTATATTTCTGATACATTTCTATTGTACAGTATGTGCACCTTATTAAACTGTAGCATTGGGAAAGCAGAAAAATAATCCTACAGTTTAACATGTTGTAACTTCATCACACTGATCCTTCTGAGAACAATTGTCGACCTAAAGTGCAAGTCATTTCCAATTGCCCCTGCTGATGACTAGAATGAGTGAGCTGAAACTGTCCACTTTCTTATCTCACGGTGCCTCCAGTTGTATGATTGCCTCATCTCTGCCTGACACTGGAGCTTGTTAACATCGCCATGTCCGACTGTCATTTTCTTATGATCAGCCTTGTCTTATTTTTTCAGTTTTTAAGGTGTGTTTTATCATTAGATTTTATTATTTTCAACAGACAACCATACATACAATCAAACGGACTGAACCTACAGTATGTGACATGTCTGGGGGTTACGAGAGAATTTGAGAGTGAAAGAGGAAAAGGGAGGAATGGAGAACCAGAAACATGTCTTGTTGATGCTCAGGACAGGTGTTGAAAGTGGGAATAGGAAAGAGAAAAGAAGAATATACAATAACATGATGTTTACCATCATGCATAGATTAATTTTTAAAAATATAATCGCTATAATAAGGATTGCAATAAATGTTATGTCGGAATATAAATATGTATACATGTACAGTATATAATGAAATACTGTGTAGAGAATAATTTTATTGGTATTGGCGTCTATATATTCAGTATATTCCAATATGTGATTTTAATATGTAAATATGTGAATATATTTAAATATGTAAATATGTGTGTATACATGTGTGCACATATATGACATTAAACTACTGGCACATTTAGAGATATAATCCCAAGTCTCATTAAACTATTTAGATTGATTTTTATAAGAAGCTGCAATCTTATCAAGTGGTATGTACTGTAGTTTATTAGAAGGTTTAACTATTGACATACTGTATTGTGATCTTGTCTCTAGTTTTCAGTTCAGAAGTCTTGTATTCTTGGCAATCCCTAGAGAAATTAGTATTGATTTGGTGTTTCTGAGTGTGCAGTCTTAAGAGTGAAAGGTCACCAAGCAGACATAAGATGAAGAAAGTGAGATGCTACAATTCATGAAAAAAATATTTTGACCAATTTTTCAGAACTGTTGGATTAGAAGGCACTCACAGGTGAAATAGAAGTGCTGTGCTCATCTCGTCTTCAACATTTTTCAATAACTTTAATTAATATGAATATATTAATATTAATCTAAGAATAACTTAAAATAAATAAATTGTATGAATTGTATTTTAGTATTTTTAGTCATAGAAAAAGTTTATGGTGATTTGAATACAGAAGTTTACATCTGTGGAGTTCATTTCATTTTCCCAGTCTTTAAGGGGTAAAATATGGTATAATCTATTGATAATGAATAATTTTATTAATATTTACTTATAATTAAAAATTGTATTCAGTTTGGATAAGATTTTTTTAATTAGAAATTTAATCAGTGTTTTCCTATAATGGCAGTAGCTGCAGAGGGCTATTGATAATATTCATCTTTGTCATAATTACATTTTTCAATTGCAGATATTGCATGTAATATTTTTCTTCAATACCACATTTCAGGCTCATATCTGTGAAGCTGAGGAAAGTATTATGCTCAAAATGTGAGATTCCTTTTTGTCTCTGTGGAATAAAAATAAATAATCTTTTTATCAGGAAGTCTGGACTGAGCCAAACTGGAGCGTACTTACAAGGTGTCATTGTTAAATTAGTGATTGAATTTATTTTCCACCAAGTCAGAAGATTTGTACAGATTACAGAGTGTTTAAAAAGAGTGTGTTGCCTAATGGATTTGCTGAGAAACGGTAAATCATAATTCATTATTTCACCACATTCTGCTTGTTAAATCCTAATCCAGGGATGTTAATATTAATCATTGCTGGTTTGGGTGTATCAACATATGAAGTACAATACTAAAGCTGATTTGTAGTAGTAATGTAAGAAATATAGTATATTAAGTCCAAAAATGTTATTTTCTTCCTGTAAGGTTTAATTTGAGGTTTTTTTTTATTCTAGAAAAAAATAGTGATGGGAGAATATAATTTTGTTACCAATACTTGTCTTTCAAAACAGACTCGAAGTTGAGGTGAAACAACTCTGACGGATTAGGAGAGATACTGTTTACAAGGTATTTAACAAAATTGAAGGACAGAGTGAATTAGAGAATTTCAACATTCCAACTATATTTAGCTAGAGGTAATATAATTAGTTTTGTCCAGTTTACTCAGTAGTCAGGTATATCTGAACTTATGTTGCTAAGATTGTTTCGGGAGGTGAAATGGATGGATTTTGTAGGTAAAATAATATGTCATCTATGTAAAGATTTGTATATTGTGTATGTTATTATTATGAAAAATCTCTGCGGATAATGGCTCTATGAATATTGCAAACAGTGAGGAAGGAGTGGACATCTATTGTCAGGTGCCCATGTGCATGGTGAAGTTTTGTGAGGTTACTGTAGGTTATTGGTGATAACTGTTGCCATGTGTGATTTGTAAAGTATCTTAATCCACTGAAGAAATGATAATCCAAAACTGAGTTTTTCTAGAGCTATAAACAAAAATTCCCAGTTTACTCTGTCAATGGCATTTTCTGTGCCTAGTAATAAAATTACCATCTTTATTTTGTTGTGATGTGAAATATTTATAAGATTAAACAGATGGCATGTTATTGAATATCTTCTACTTTTAATAAATCTTTTTTTGCCTGAATGTTTAAATGAGGGGATGACAGGTTCTATTCTGTTTGTTAATGATCATTTCAATATTGATATTAGTAAGAGAAAGGGGGTAATAGCTAGAGCACAATGTTGGGTCTTTATCTGGCTTCAAAAGTAGAGATGTAAGAGCAGTATTCACATGCAGGTCCTTCCTCCCGGCAGCTGCCAGGGTGTATAACACTGCCCTAGGCTAGGACTGCTAGCCCTTCATCTGCTCATCTATGGACAGCATGTTGCACTAATGTACTTTTTGGACACTGCATTAATATACTGTTTATATTGTGGTACTTTCAATCTGTATATACTTATGCCCATTTTGGACATACTTTATTGTTGTAAAGTGATTCGTAGCATATTTTGGACACACCTAACTCTATTTATTTTACTTTGCATTGCTGTACTTATTTTACTTTTTATTCTATTCTGATGTCTCTTTTTGCGTGTCTTGGGCTGGACTGCACCTCAATTTGCCTTTGGGATCAATAAAGTCTTATCCATCTATACACAAGAATAGTTAAAGACTGTTTTATTTCCACTGTCATTCTTAAGAATAGAGGAGATATTGTTTCCCAGAAGTGTCAATAAAATTCAGTGGGATAACCATCAGAACCTACAGGACATCTTTGCTGTTGGACCTTTGGTTAACTTCTTGATGAAATTTGTGAATGGCTTGTCTATTGTGTCTGCTTCTTCCTTACTTTGTTTTGTTAAGTTCAGTCATTCCAGGAAAGAGTATATATCAGTTATATTTGCGCTCCAATTAGATTTAGAGAATTTGCTGTAGAAAGTGTGAAATGTGGTATTAATTTCTTGTGGATTATTCAGACTCACTATATTTCGCTTGTAGTCTTTTATTGTAGGAATAGTCAATTTCTCTTTCTGTCATTTAAATTGGTTTGCTAGAAATTTACTAGATTTATCATTGTTACTAAAATCGTTTATTTTCAGTCTCTGTATTCAGAATTGTGTTTACTTATTGAGAATAATAATAATAATTAATAATTGCTTACATTTATATAGTGCTTTTCTGGACACTCCACTCAAAGCGCTTTACAGGTAATGGGGACTCCCCTCCACCACCAATCAGCAGCATCCACCTGGCAGCCATAGTGCGCCAGAACGCTCACCACACATCAGCGATCAGTGGGGAGGAGAGCAGAGTAATGAAGCCAATTTATAGAGGGGGATTGTTAGGAGGCCATGATTGATAAAGGCCGATAGGAAATTTGGCCAGGACGCCGGGGTACACCCCTACTCTTTTCGAGAAACACCCTGGGATTTTTAATGACCACAGAGAGTCAGGACCTTGGTCTTACGTCTCATCCGAATGTTGTCAGGTCAAAACATTTTAATTTCAGATTGTTTTTTTAATTTAAAAAAAGATTCTGTTCCTTTAACCAATGTGTGTATTGCATCCCTTTTAGTCCCAGAATTACTGTAATCTGTCTTCTCTGATCAAACTCCAGGACATCATTGTGCTCCTCAAATCAGGTATGAATCCTTTAAGAACCCCCCCCCCCCCCCTAGTTCAGCCTGGCGTCACAAAACTGCAGATTAACAATCTTCCAGTGAAACCGCCTCTTGTCACGTGATGAGGGAGCCGCCGCGCTGCTGTCACGTGTTGAGGTAGCGCTGCCTGTACTCAGAGAGTTTCAATATGGCGTGTTGCTGTTTGTAGCTGCAGAGGTTGGGATTTTGAAAATATCTTTATTGTTCCAAATAAATTTGTCAACGGATGGAGTTTAAATAAAGAGCTGGTCGATTTGAATCTGATTCAAGGTAAAGCGTAAAGAAGGTGCTGGGGTTTCTAGTTGGGCTCTTTTTCTTCATTGTTGTTGAGTTATACATTGCGGCCTTTTAGAACTGGTTTATACTGTAGTATTCCAGTAATAGTTCCGTTTGTTATAAATTAAAATCGTAAATTTTACAACTTGGTGGAAGAAAATCAAATAGTCCAATTTAAGAAAAATTGTACGGCTTAATGAATAATGCTTTCTACAAAGAAGTGAATGGAAAGCAGGGTTTTAAAACTTAGCAGAAAAGTAGTGATCTGCATGCAGCTGTGTTGGGTTGTGTAATATATCTGAAAGTGAAACAGTTCTTTGAGTGCCCCCTTCATTTGTGTGATCTACTTGTTCACAAGCATGATACTGATTCGTGCAGGCTCTGACATGGATTTTTTACAGTAAATACCGTTACGCTAGTGCTCTGGCGTCTGCCCCTCCTTTCACCTTATTAAAAGAAAGTTGCGTTCATTTTCTTTCAGCGCATCTTGGAAGAGTGAATGAAATCTGCTATATACAGTAGATATCGATCCGTTTTGTATTATAACTCTTTCGTTTTGGTTTTGTAGATTTAGGAGTTCTATTGCTCAAGGGTCTCAAAATTATTCGAGTTTAGAGTTTTTTTTGCCATAAGACACTAATACATTAAGTATCATTAAGAAAAGAGAACCTTATAAATTATTCAAGGGTGTATAAATTTCTTGGTAATATGTAGTGGGAGTTGGACATCTTCACATCTTTTGACCCAAATAGCTTTAAAATGACATTATTCCTTCTGTAACAATGTAGTGAATCTCTTATTGGAGTTCTTGCTCTGTTCAGAGCTGGGAGAACAAATCATTTTGTACTGTATCGATTCTAGGTTCGTGTTAAGAAAAGGGTATTTACTGTTTTGTGTTATGTAGGATAAGCATTGACAGGATTTTTAATTTTAAACGGGTTGCAATTAATGTTGTCAGTCGCTGGTGCTGTTAATCAAAACATCTTGATGTTTATGTTAATTTTATTCTTGCATGTTGTTTGACAGTTGACTTCAACTAACTTTGATTTGCACTGTAGTTTGCTTCCCCTCTCATTATGCTTGTTGTGAAGCAAAGTGTTACACAGAGGGAGGACATACAGTATAAAGGCTGTATAATGCTCATGCAAGAACAGGGTCATGCATGTGTTTATTTTAGACTATAAGACTATTAGTCTACTGTGTTCTTCATTTTTTCTCATTTGCAGCTGCTTATGATATTAGTCATGATAACCATCACTTTAGGCATAGTACTCCAATTGAAAGGCTCATTTGTGCTATAAAACAGTAATTAATAGGAAAAAGTAGGCCTATATTGTTATCTCATTAATGAAATACAGGTGCAGCCCAAATTTCATTACTTTTCACCCAAATTCATCTCCACGATTAGTTAGATAGGTAGATTTGGATCTTACAATGAATCAACAGAGAATGATACACTGAACCCACGGTGATCTGAAAGGGGCAAACATTTGCATCGATAATTGCGGTTCGAGTATTATAAGTTTTATATTCATGTGTACTGTGTCCTTCATGAAGTTTGTATGAGAGTATGCATTATCCCAAATCTGACATAGCTGCTTTGTTTTTTTAAATTAACTGCAGTATATCCAAGATCAGTTTAAGATTCAGATTGTTTGTAATTAAATATTGCTGACATGCATACTGTATAAGAAATGAGTTACTCAGTGTACTGGAGAGCACTGCTCAGAAGCACACTTCGTCTGCTTCCTTCTCTGTCCAGACTAGGTGCCAATGGAGCTTCCCAACTACAGTCGCCAGCTGATGCAGCAGTTGCACGCATTGCGGAAGGATGGGCACTTCTGCGACTGCACTATCTTGATTGGACAGGCACTCCACCGGGCCCACAAGCTGGTTCTGGCTGCCTCAAGTCTGCTTTTCAAGTCTCTGATGGAGGGCTCTGACACCATCTCCATCGACTCTTCTGTTGTCACCTCCCAGGAGTTCTCCTGCCTCCTGGAAATGATCTACACAGGCAAGCTGCCGCCTGGCAAGCATAATTTCACCAGGATCATTGCAGCGGCCGACAGCCTCCAGATGTTTGACGTAGCTGTAAGTTGCAAAAACATTCTTAATGACCTCATCAAGCCACCGGCTACTACAGAACCACCGGCTGATGCCACAGATCTGGCCTTGGGAGGATCAGAGCACACATCTTCCCCTGTGGTTGCTGTTCCAAGCTCCAGTGAGGCAGCCGAGGTTTTCCTCGATCCCACCCCAGCAGCATCTGAGGAGGCAATGGAGGGGGGATCCGCTGAGGCCACATGTGAGAAGACTGGGAATCCCCTCATGGATGAGGAAGAGAATCCGGCCAAAAATGGAGATAGTGCCATTCCAAGAGTTTGGGAAAGCAGTGTTGAAAATTCTCCTCCCTGTAAAAGAGGCCGCCTGGCCCTTACTGTGACTAAAGGTACTTAAATTTATTCTTATTAACAGAAAGCCACACTTTAAATTAAGGTTTTAAATGATCTAATTGGCAGCGACAGCTTCATTATACACTGCAGCCAGTGTTCCCTCCCCCAAAATAATTTCTCAACTTGCTCAAATATTTTTACTGTAAAAAAATAGATTCTGCTTTGAAAAATATTTACCAGTGTATTTTAAAAAGGAAATAGTACTTGAATGTAAAGTCTTTTCTTTAAATATCCTACACATTTTGCGTATTGTCTTCTAGAAGCATTCAAATTTAAAAGGGAAACATATTAGGTATATTTCACATAATCCCAGAAAAAAAAGTCTTCCAGTAATTGATGTTCATTTAACAGAATAATGATTTCAGGTTTTATTACCATTAATATTCAATTTTAAGTAGGACATTTTGGCAGTAAGTTGTCATTAACATTCCAGGGCTCTACTTTTCTTTTCTTTCATTTTGATGTGAAATCTTTAGCACTGTGAATGTGTCCTGGATTGTGGTTAAAATGAATATAACATTTTTTTGTGGGTTCTTTTTTCAGAGGAAAGTGAGGAATACTTGGAGTTCTTGCAACAGAACAAAAATAAGATTGCTGGAGCCATTGGAAATGTGCAACCGGTGATTAATGCTGTGGAAAAGTGGGAGGAAATTTCAAGTGTGGAGAAACTGGTAGGAGCTGTGTGCGTCACCAGTACAGTGCAACAGCGTGAGCCCCCTGCAGTGCATCCTAAGATAAGCACAATTCCAGTAATTGAATCTGAAGATGATAGTGTATGTGTGTAGGGGACTAGATATTTAGTGTCTATGCAGAATGTATGGAAAGTCAAAGAATATCCTTTTTTCAAAGAACTGAATAATTATAATCTTTTCTATAACCTACCTGTTTACAAACACCAATTGTTTATCACCTTCCTTGAATGCTGCTGTAAGAGTAATATGAAGAGAAAGAGATGTCATCTGTATGCTCTTTTATAACATTCCCATCTATTAGAGCCATTAGCTTTTTGATACTGTGCATGCTCCACACCTTACAGGAGAACAGGCAATTGCAGGAGCAGTGTTCCTCACATCCATCCATCCATCAATTTTATTCTTATATGGGGCCTTTCAATCCAGAGCATTCTCAAGAAAGTTTACATACATTATATATATATAACTAACTACAATATGGGGTTAGTTAGAGAGAGAGAGTTAATAGAAATATATTAACTGTTATGGGGCAGTGCAGTGGCTCTGTGGTTAAGGATCTGCGCTTGTTGCTGGAAGGTTGCCAGTTTGTATCCCGTGGCCGGCAGAGGAATCCTACTCCATTGGGTTCCTGAGCAAAGCCCTTAACCCCAGCTGCTCCAGGGGCACAATATAAATGGCTGACTCTGCGCTCTGACCCTAAGTTTCTCTCTCTGTCTGTGTGTCTCATGGAGAGCAAGCTGGGGTATGCGAAAAGACAAATTCCTAATGCAAGAGATTGTATATGGCCAATAAAGTGATCCTATCTTACATTAAACAAAAATGCTATAAAGCCGCTTATAAAAGTTAAATAAAAGAGAAATAGATTAACTGTTGAAGGCAATCAAATACATGTAAGTTTTGAGGCGGGATTTACAGACTTGTTTGATAATGCATTATACTGGCTTGCAGTCATCAAGCAGGTTCCTGGAGTCATTGCTGCAGACACACAAGCCCTAAATAACTTTAGCTCATACACTTGTCCTCTCTGACACAGGGTGACAGAGCCCAGTCTTGAACTAGTAGTATCTGGTTAGTAGGACTCCTCTTACATTTACCAGTTGAACCTCCTTGAAGCCTAAAGGCATTTTACAGTCACATCTTGATCACTTGACTAGGGTGTGTCCTTTCCTTACATGACTGAAGCAGTTTGCAAATGCCTTAGCATTGTTTGCATTTCTTTCTTTGTATTAAGATCTTGTATGTGGCCCTTTAAAGCATTTTGGCTAAGAGGTTTGTAGTGTGCTGGTTGTCCAAATTGTGATACTAGGTTTATGTACGGTAAAGAAGTATTACAACTGAAACAGGAAAAGGAAAGATAAAAGTAGCAACGGGTTCTTTTTTGAAAAATTAGATTACCTTAACCGTTTTCCATTAACAGTGAAGTTGAGTGCATGCAAACCTGAATTCATGGACTGAAACAATAAATGTAAAAAAAATATTTCATGTGCACAAAGAAGCCTAAGCTCTGACTATTTAAACATACTTTGATCCACTGAAGGCAAACCTTATGGAATATTTTGATATTGTTTTGATTGACTTAAAGAGTGTTCTTGCTCCTCCAGGTTATTTTAGACTGCTGTAAAGGAGAGCCAGATGTGACTGATATTTTCCATAGTCTGCTGAATTATGTGGTCAGTAAAAAGCTGTCAACACGGACCCTGCTGACATTACTGGAAGCCCTGAGAGAATTCTGCCCAGATCTGGCTACAGTGCTGGAGAATCCACTCCAGGGGGAGCAAAACGTAGAACGAGATGGTAAGAGCCCTTGGACAATACGCTCATCTCTTTTACTCTTACAGGTTATTTCAAAGTAATGGCAGGGAGAAAGTACAGACTTTTGTGTAGATATGGAAACATACAGTAGTGCCTTGCAAATGTGTTCAGACCATTTGTATATTTCCCAATTTTGTAAAATTACAAAATTGAGCAAACACATTTTTAAAATATAATATTTTATTATGAACTTGAATGCTTAAGCTTAAGACAAGTGATAGCAAATGTAATCAAAACTAATGAGAAAAATCCAAAATAAGTTGATTGCTTAAATATTTAGACCCATTAACTCAATATTTAGATGAATCACCTTTGGCAGCAATTATAGCAATTAAGTCGTTACAAGATGTACACTGACTTGATGAAACTGTCAGATTTGCTCAAGATCTCTCTTAGGTTCCTTGAGTTTTGCTGATGACAGCAGTTTTCAAGCCTTTCCATAGATTCTCAAGTCAGGACTTTGACTGGGCCACTCGAGGAGATTCAGTTTCGTATTCCTAAGTCACTCCAGTTTATTCAGGATCAGTATTCTGCAGAAAGTGATTTTTTTTACCCCAGACCTAAACAGAAGAATTAAATAGGTTTTCCTCTTGTATTGCCCTGTACTTTGCTCTATCCATGCCTTGCTTAGTAAATGGATTCCCACAGCATGACTCTGCCTCCACTGTACTTGACAGCAGGGAAGGTGCTGTCTGGGAGATGTGCTTTGCTGGCTTTGAGTCAGATGTAACGCTTTGCCAAGCAGTTCCACTTTTGTTTCGTCTGACCACAAAGCCACGTGTTTACTGTATCATTCAAATGCATAATTGCAAACTATATGTGGGATTTGAGATGGATTTGTCACTCTGCCAAACAGGACAGCTTTAAGAAGTGCCTGGCATACTGCATTATTGACTCACTGACATTTTGTCACTTCTCAGCTGTTTATCTCTTTAGCTCTTTGAATGTTGCCACTGGCCTCTCAGAGGCATCCCTCACCAGTGTCCTCCTTGCCCGGATTCTCAGTTTGGAGAGACAGGTCGATCTAGACAGTATGTAGGTTATAAAATGCACATTCTTTTTCCTGATGATTGACTAGACTCAGCTCACGGAGACTTGCTTTGACTCCTGACTTGCTTTGAAAGCTCTTTAGTTTTCATGTTTGTATTTGTGCTTGAAATCCATTACCTGACCAAGGAACCTCACAGAGACAGGTTTGTGTTCTGAAATCATGAGCAGCACTATTATTGTACATAGTCGGGCCACTCAACTAATAATCAGGCTCCTTCAGGTAATTATGTGCACCTAAATTGATTTGGAACAAGTAAAGGTTATTTCCATGTTGTTTTAGGTGAGGCAACTGAAGAAGTCTACATTTGAGTGTAGAACCTTGGATTATTCCTTTGTAGCCATCACATGCAACACACCCAAGCTAAATTAATTTGGGTTAGCACAGCAAAGGGTTTGAGCACTTTGCAATCATGACCTTTCCATTTTTCTTTTATATGAACTAGTCTTATATCTTTTATGTTTTTTGGGGGGTTGAATGTGAGGAGTCAGTCATTTATGTTTATCATGTATATTAAGGTAATATTATGTTGATATAAATGATATTTTATATAACATAATAATATAACAAATATTATTGCTACTTCAAAAATGTGATGACTGTAAACATCAAAGCAAATACAAATAGCTGTAAAATAGTGTAAGAGTTTGAATACCTTTGCTAGACACCATCTACTGAAAGAAAAGCAAGGTTTTAAAACATAATAAGAATAAAATTAATTTTATGTTATAGCATCATTAGCTCTGTGAAAGACACTCAAGGGCATTTATTTTGAACTTGTTTTACATTCATATAGTAATGTACTGTACATTTCTTGGAGTACAAGGCATTTGAAAAGGAAACAAAATGTTAACATGCCCATCTGCCCCCAGTAAAAAAGCTTAAAATGCCTATATCAGTAGAAACTGTTTTAAAAATGTCACTTTAACACCTTTTACATACAGTGTAACTGTAGAGTAATAACAGATGGTGTTCTGTCTGTTAAATTGTTATATTCCCAAAACCAAAGCTCAATTTTTTGTTCGCTTCTAATGTACTTCAATACTCTTTCATAATAGTCTTTCAGATACAACAGTAAAAAGAAAGCTGAAAAGGAAAGATGAAATAAGTTATTTCTTCTTTAACAAGTCTTAAAATATTTTTGCTGCTTCATTAGATGAAAAGTGTTTTTTAAATTATTAAGAACTCAGTTTGATTCTATAGTTAACAGGTTTAACATTAACGTATCAGATTAAAAAGGGTGGTACAGATTTGTTGCACAGCAAAAGTATAAACCTTTTAAACTTGAGCAGAGAAAAACATCTGCATGCAAATCCAGCAGTGTTGTGAAATTTTATTACTGTTGATCAAACGTACAACACAACAGAAATAAAAAAGTGTCTATTTATGCAGTGAAGAGAAACATTAAAACTGAAACCCATTACCAGTAGTTGTGATGTAGAATTTAAAAGCAGAAATATAGTGCACTGTAGTGAGAAAACCCCTAATCTGTGTTTAAAGGTCTGCTGAGGTCTGATTACATTCTTTTACATAGATGACTATATTAATATTTCAGCTTCTGGAAAGGACAGTTGTTTGAGTTTTGAAATTAAACTTCTACCTGTCCTACAATCTCAAGCAGCAAATGTATTTGTATTTTTTACATGGGTGATAATTTGACTTTTGAAGTTGTGTTGTGGTATGGAGAAGCAGACATTGAGACACTAATGCTGATAACTATAACTCTTGCGTACAGCACATCAGGTTCCTGATGAGAAGCCAGCATCGCGCTTGCTTGCGGATCACGCAGAGGAATTGATTGTTAGCATCTCTCACCTGAGGCCAATCATTGAGGTGTTGGACAATATGAAGGAAGATTTTCTCACTGAAACTGAAAAGCAGGTAACTCCTAAAAAGTAATAGGGATAGGGATTCTTACACGTGTATTTATAATTAAATATTTTAACTAGATATTTGCCTACAGAAAGTTTTAACTTTTATGTATTGAGTCTGGTTCCTGGTACTCTAATGCTAGAACAAAAGAACAATATGCAGTATACTGAAGAGTGAAGAATACATATGCGGAACACAATTTCTTAACATGGTTCAAAACATCAAGCCATTAGACAATACTGCTGCAAGTAAATAAAAAAAGTTATTCCTATTTTGAAAAGGGTATTCAACCTACAATCTACTTCAGCTGAAATACAACATTTCCTTGCTTAAGCAATCTATGGTTTCAAATATTTTTCTAGTATTCAGTCTTTATCTAGTATAAATCATTTCTACAGCTTAAATGTTCATGATCAAATAAAAAAAATGTTCTGTATTGTTAGGTCATATTTTTTTGCTGACAACAAACATTAAATAAAAAAGCTTCTACAGTTACAAACTAAATACTAGTGCTGTCAATGATTTTGGACACTGATTAGCTAGATGGATAGCCTAGCCTGGGAAATGTGATTGAGGTCATTGTGTTCTTTGCAGATGTCTGTTATGACCATTTTTAATACTTTGCTTATGTCCTTTTATTAGTAGTTGTATGTGGATGTATAGGTAAAGCAATTATGCAAATACGTAAAAGAAACTATTATAATGGCAACAAAGATTGCAAACAAAGCTAGAAGCATGATGTGAGTAAACCATTAAATATTAAGAACCAAAAAGGAAAACATTTGTCACTTGTTCTTGCTAGAAATAATTGCATGAATGAAGCTCCCTTCAGAGAAAAAGCAGGCTGTCAGGCAGTTCATTCAGCTTACAAGAATTGACGAGTAGCATGTTGTCTTTTTTCAGCAATCGAGTCATTTTGGCTTATCAGCTCTTTGCTTTGAGTCCAGTTTTTTCCTGCTTTGTCATCTCTAACAAGGGCAACATTCCATAGTGTTGTTCTGGAGAGTGGGGATGACTTCAGACAAAAGAGGAAGTTAGCTGAAGTCTTGCCTCACTCCACCATGAAGCTGAGCAATTTTTAAAAGCACTTCCCCTTGAATGGGATGTCTGAGAAGCACAAACATATAACATATATAATAAGGCATTGTTGTCAAAGTTATTGATAAAATTACTGCTATTGTGGAATTTACAAGCACCAGCCTTGATTCTAACGAATGAGCAAACTGCAAGGTGAACTTATGTTTTTTATTAAGCAAGCAGTGTGCACTGTCAACAGCTTCCTGGCAGTCACACCCACTTGCTCCAGACTCCCACCACAGGGCAGAGAACCTGGTTCTCCCCCAACTCTCCCAAGACATTCCACACAGAGTGTGCAACACAAAGGACTGGCAAAGGCAGACAGGAAACACCTGACGGAGCATTTAAAGATTACTGTCTGGTATTGCAGAATGACACAACATCAGAGATCCCGTTTAACTCTGATGGCTTGCAAGGCCTGATAATTTCCAGGGTGTGTGTGGTCTTTTGCTCATTTAATATATACCCTGTCACTTTGTACTCTGTTATACTGGTTTGGAATCTGTGGTCCAGATGGAACAGTGACAGCTACAGGTGCATGAGTACTGGCCTGATTTTGATTATGACCAAGTAATAATAAGCAGACCCACTGTGGCATAGACTTTGAAATCTGATGGGATCAGCCTTCAGAAAGACATAGCTGCTGGCACTACCTTCAGCACATAAGATTGCTTTTCATCCTGACATGTCCTATGTAGAAATGGCTGAATTTAATTTTTAACTTAGTTATTAGAACTTCCCTTTATTTCCCTTCTTTCATCCGTGATTTAAAAAAAAAGCCTTCGGTCTGTGTCACAGTACTTGTTGCAGAAATGAACACTGGCCACACACACTGTACCAAGAAAGAAAAATAACTGATCAATATCATAGATACTCTGTAACGGTTAATAAGTTAAATAACGGTTAATGGAATTACATACTAAATACTAATGAATTCTCTTATCATGTCCTAGAGAATACCTGATGCAGTAATTAAATTAACAGTAAGGCAGTAAGAAAAACAAGATTTTAGTTAAGCAGTTCTGTAAGAACTTATAGTAATTTTTAGTCTGAAACTGAAAAGCAGACTGATCTCTGTTCAAAACTTTAAGCTGAAAAGATATTTGTTTTTCTGTTGTATCTCTCAGACTGTCTTCCAGTGTTGCCAAGATGTGTGCACCAGGGAGGCCATTCAGAGTCTCCTGAATAAAGTGAAGGTGGAGAAAGTGCTGGAGGAGAGCAGCTTTCTGAAGCTGCTGCACGCTGTCAAATCAAGCTTCCCTGTCTTGCAGCAGCTGCTGGACACAACAGTGGCAGAAGGGACCACATTTCAGAGCAAAGGTAAGCAGCATCTCTCCTGGGCCGAGGTGGCTAAATCAGGGTGAATCGTGGCAGATTAAAGATGTGGTGTTGAGACAGGGAATCTTTATTACACAGCAGGAGAAGGAAGTGGCAGTGAGGTTTCTGGTTCAGTTCTGTTTCTGGTTCTGTTACTAGAAGGTTGTTTGCTCAAGTCTGTGATCAGTTCTGTTCTATATATGATCAGAGTATGTTATCCAGTCATTCTAGCTGCATAATGGATATCACTGTTTGCTGGAGGTTAACCTGGAATACATGGAACAGCACCCTGTGTTTTTTTGGAATCTTAAGCGCTGACACAAGGGAAACTGACCTAATAGAATAAAAGACAAATAAAAAACAATGTGAAAAGTACATGCAAAAATGTAAACACTGAAATGCTCCCATGAGCCATTTTCTCCCATTAACATTTAAGTAGAATTGTTTTCTGGATTTGAAAGTTAACATGGTAAATAAAAACAAAAGACATAAAATAATAATTTCCTGTAAGTTCTAAAACTTTAGTATAAAAAAAACAAAGTTAGCACTTGCGTACACTAACATCTTTCCTTTCAGAAGATAGAGGCCAAGAAGAATATGAAACAGATCTTCTGAGAAGATACCATCAGAGGCTCTCGGAGTCGATCTGTGATCCCCAGCCTCTTCTTGAAAGTCTAGCAGCAGCTGATGATGTGTCTGCAGAAGATCAAAAGGTATAAAATTAGCCACTGCTTATCCACAATTCAGTATTTATTCATTGCTAGGTTTTGTGAAGAGCATTTGCAGGCACTGTTGGAAAGGAAGGCCTCGAGTACTCCTCTGTTTAGTTTTTTAAATGCACTTGTTGAGATGCAATATTGAAATGATTGAGAAGATTGAAACATAGGACTGCACTCCACTGCTGTAAGAGAGAATTATTGAAATCTGTCTGCAGCTGGGGCTGGTTGTGTAAAAGCACATTAAAAGTGTGTGTAATCTGCTGGGGTTTGTGAGAAAACATCTGTAGGATTCAGCTGTAAGAATTTCACAAGCTGCAGTGTGTCTTAGACCTTCTTGCCTACATGCTAGAGAACATGTGGAACATCAAGAACCTTATTGCTTGTCAAGCTTGTCTCATCCTCCCATGCATCTCCTCTGCTTGAAGTCTTCACTGAAGAGCTTTTCAGTTTTAACTTTCTATAGCTAATAAGGTGTATTTTATACCCAGTTCAACATTGATGGTTTTTCCTCATGTCTTGTAGAGATTATATTAAATGCTTTCTTATTTTATAGATAGACTGTTACTATGTTTGACTCACTGATGTTTCAAAAGATGCCCTTAGTTTTGAATTCAGTCAGTCCCTTGATTTTTAACTGAAGTTGATTTTTATGAACATCCTCACAGTCAAATTCAAAATTCTGCTTCTGACATTGAAGCCAGTGATTTGTTTCGTGCTAAGATGGCATTTGTAATTTTTTTACATGCATTTGTTCTTCAGACTGGCCTTCTATGTGATCCAAAAATGAAACTGGGTGCCTGTAAACATATTTAACTTTCTACCTTTCATGCTGTCCCGAAGGTTGCCCTGCTTGAAGCGCCCCACCCCAGGAGACGAGATCACAGCCTGTTTTTGTTATTTACTGCTTGTTATTTGAGTTATGTGCTCTGTAGCAAGCTTGCTATTCTAGAGTACTGCTTTACTTTAATGATACTCCATGTTGTTTTCTTGGTTTGCTTTTACTTTAACAAACACTTTATTTTTGTGTCACTGTAACTCATAACTGCAAAATAGAAGCACCATGTAGTTGTACTTCTGTGGCGGTTTTATTATTAAGTCACCTTGGAAGATGTTTAACAAATGGATTTTAAATCTACAGTATATACAGTGATATGCATGTCTTAGTTATTTTTCACTTTTTTCTCTATGTGATTTTCCTTCTTTACTCAGAAACACAATTCTGTGGTGGTTTTGTGCTAAAATTTTATCTGTTTTGTGTTAATCTGAAAGTTTATACACATAGATCTTGATTTTGTTGTGCAGAATGTAGACATTTAGCTTTATTTAAGATGAACAAATGCTCCTGATGAATTGGGGCATCTGACAAATCAATTTGATTTGATCAGTAAATGTGATGGATTAGCTAGAACATCACTTAATATTGACTGCTCTTGTCTTAACATGTATTTAATATTAATAGTAATAAATATTTTTAAATGATTAATATCAATTTTTTTTGGTGTCACCTAAACTGAGCTGTGTTCATAATAAATTCATAAGAAATTCCTAGAGGAGATGTGGATTAAATTGTTCAAGTTCATAATATACTGCAAGGGTTTTATTTAAAGGGATATTTGAAGAGACAAAGTTTATCTAGGTTGTGGTTTTCAGAGTATTTGAGCGAAGTTAGTGCAGGTATTGGCTTTGCTGCAGCTGTTGCTGGTTAAGAGTTCTCTTTTAAAAGGCTCCAGGAAACTCTAAACAGTCTCTTTAGTTCTTCTAGCTACAGTAGAACTTCTAGATCAGGATAAAACATAGTCTCTTGGCTATGCAGGTCAAATAGGATGGTTTAAGAACAGTTGTTTAGGGTTTACATGTGAGAGGAGATGCACGGTAGCTCTTCCCATGCTTATACTGTATGTACCCACAAAATAGAGAACACACTGTGAGAATCAGATTTACTCCATGGGTTGTAGAAGGGAGGAACAGGAGGAGAAAGGTACTCCAGTGGCTAGGAGGTATGGTGTTTGCCTGAAGTGAGATAAAAGGTGGAGCTCTCAGGTGGGAGTCGTGTCTGCAATTGCTACTTTGGGATGTAGGAATCATGTCAGTCTACCGACTGAGACAGTACTGTAATATCAAGATTGACGGCTTCTATGTCGGTGTGCAGGGGGTGGTTATTAAGAAGTGTCCCTGGCCAAACAAGATTAATCAATTAGGGTTAGTGGATAGGTCCAGTGGTTTTGGCTGCAGAGCAATTGTTAAGGAACATGGTATTAGTTTATAAGTGAAAACACTGTTACATACATCCACTCCCTGGGTTGTGTAAAGGTTAGGTTCCTTAAGGCTGTACGTAACCCAAGTGTCTGTTATAACTCCTTATTGTGTCTGTCACTTGCAGAGCAGTGAAATCAGATAACAATGGTGTTAGTAATTTTACATTGGAACCACAACTAAAATGTTGCTCAGCACAAAGCTGTGATCTTAACACCAATATCAATATTAACGTCATTAAGATTTATTTAGCTTTATAATATCACAGGAGGCACGATGGTGCGGTGATTAGGATTGAATTCTTGCTTTGCAGTGGCTCCAGCTCTGGTTTCTGCTGTAAAAAATGTTTATTCAAAATGTTATAAATCTGTGGTGTGGTATGCTTGTGTTCCTCCAGTGGATGAAGCAGGTGCTAGAGGAGGAAGCTAGCCCTCGCTGTTTGGACAAGCTGTTGTCTCTGGCTGTGGAGAAGGGCTCAGTGCAGGTGCTGGCAGTGTGGAAACTTCTGGTCAGGACAGAAATCCCAGCTCTTAGCCTCCTAATCCAAGACATCAGGAAGGACCCTGAAGCTGACCGATTAATCCATTCTGGTAAGGTGTTCAAACATTTTATTGTGTTGATGGTAATATGCTTTTTCTTTTTCTCAAACTTCCTCAAATTTGACTTTAAAATAAAATATTTTTAGCTCATCTTCATAGTTCACCATCTGAACCATTGATATTAAAGAGGCAATAAAACCCACAGAAAATTCCCATTTATAAAACAGGATTCATGTTTCCATTTATAAGTTTTTGAGTTACAGTCAATAAACACAATTTATATGAAACTGCATAAAGAATTCCTTTAGTATCGTATGCATTATGGAATTATTGAGTTGCAGTCATTGGCCTGTCATAAATGTCATAAATGACCACTACCTGTTAAGAGGAATTAATTAATTAAGAGGAATTAATTAAATTAACTTCAGTTGTTGAAGGATATTTAGTAAATGAACTTTTTAGTAATGTTGCTTGAAATGAACGTGCTATTGGCTTTTCCAAATTAGATCCCACCCCTAAAGGGTAATTTTTGCCTGGAATGGATGTATCCTTAAGAATCTTCACTTGTCTTGGAGAGTATACACAGTACAAGCCTGGTTAGGGTTGAATTCAAGGGCGTCCCTTGGGCATCAAGTCTGAACCTTTAGATTTATTTTGTATTGCTCAGTACACACATTAGAAAAACATATCAAAAACAAAAACAGAAAAATATTATTTTATAATTTTTCAAGATGTAGCACTCCTAGGATGATAATTTCTGCTTCCAGAACTTCTCCTATATATGTTCAGTCTTGAATTAAAAAATTGACACTGATTGATCAAATATAAAAAAATCTTTCTTCACCTTCCAAAAATTGAAACAAAATAAAAAAAAATCGTAAGAATAAAAATTCTGTTATCATTACTATTGTAGGCACTTAGGCAGTTCTAGAAAACCTATTTGTGGTGTTTAGGCTGTAATGTTTTTTGCACACTTCCGGTGTGTACTGTTTATGACAAACTGACGAATCTGTGTGATCTTCATTTGATTGATGGGCAAAAATAAAGAACAAAGCCCTAAAAAATTACAAACGCTCAGGATGCCTATAAACCTACCCCAATCTCTTAATAGGCAAAATTCACTAATTGATAGCCATTTCTACATATTAGACCAGCTTTTCCATAGGCTGTCAGTTTGAAAATAGCTTTTGTAACCTTAAGTTTATCATCAGCCATTTTCAAACACATCTTGTTCATTTTGGTGAGGAAATTGGGTTTGACATATCGCTGTTGCAGTTGTATTTTGTGGGAGGATTGATCAATTATCAATGAAATTCAGAGGATCTCTGACCTGCATCACCAGATAAATGGTTTTATTAAAAAGATTGCATTACATTTGGCTTTGAATACACCATTGTAAAGATGAGGTTGGCCAAAGTCCAAATACAAAGTTTAAATACAAAGTTTGTGGTGCTGTATTTTGATTTTGCTGGTAACAAATATGAAATTCACACTTTGTGCTGCATGTGAATGTAGCATTGTGGTCAGCACTCTCTCATTAATTTGTTATTAAAAAATAGTTTCACTGCTCTGAAAACAAACTTAATGGTTGTTTTAGAGAATTTAGAGAATATTGAAGATCATTTGCTTGTGTGATACTTTGTGAAACAGTTAAAAATATGTTTTATTGCAATATACAAATCAACAGAATATGCACATTTCCAAGGGTACTTTGTATCTGTCTACAGAAGACTGCTGAAGTTAATTAATTTCCAGACCAGCCATTTGACTGTAGGGCTGTGACCTCTGAAGGGATGGCTTTTTTTAGACCTATGGCAAAAACGTATTTAGGACTTTTAGACTTATGGTAAAAAAAAAAACATTGCCATAATGGTGTCCTCTGACCATGAAGTGTTATTGACTGTGAAAAACAAGCAGCTGTTGTCTCTGTAAGTCTTTGCTCTTTAAATAATGGAGCCATTATGTGAAATTGGCAAAACAAATACTGAAAATTGCACTCACATCTTCCTGTGTTTCTCTTTTGATTTCAGTTTTAGATCTAGAGAGTCAGTTGTTGGAAATTCTCTCAAGACACAAGGATTTGATCACAGAAACCATCAGCAGCCTCGGCGCTTTACTAGACAGTGTAACTGGAGAGCCAGAATGCCCATCTGGAGATGCAATTGAGGTATGCTATAGCCTTTTATTTTCATTTCAATAATGACTTTGTCCGAAGACATACAAGTAGTTTAATTGGCTTCTGGGAAAATTGGCCCTGATGTGAGTGTGTGTGTCACTGTGTGCCCTGCAATGGACTGCCATCCTGTCCAGGGTGTATCCTCTTTTGCACCCACTGCTTGCTGCTCGAGCTCCCCCACAGCCCGGCATTGGATAAAGCAGTTAGAAAATGGATGGATTGGTATGCTTTAGTCTCATAGATACCCAGTCGGTCAGTTACTACTGTGGGAGCCGAAGACCTAACTTAATTGGTTTTGCCCCACCTCTTGATGAATTTTAGTTGCAGTCTGCTAGCTCATGACATAACCTTAGATCAAAACACTGCATTCCAGGCAGAGGGATTTACTAATGATCCTTAGGGTCCTCTGTTGTAAACTGGATTTCTAGCAAAAAGGAATTCTACAACCGAACTCACCAATGAGTCTATAAATATATTGTATATTCATTAAATCTGATACCCTTTGCCTTTACCCTTTACAAATATTCACAAAGATTTAAGATCTGTGGCCGTAGATTTGTTCTAGGTGTTTGGATTGCTCCATGTGTCATGGCTACAATGGAAATTCCGGTGGTGCACACAGCCATAATATCTTCATCCCCAGGCAACTACCCCTTCAGCCTGTTAATTCACCAGTTACCATAGTAACGAGATTGGGACGAAGATTAATCAGTCTATTAATTACCTTGTCCACCAGTGGATATCTAAGTGAGGGTACCCCGTGAATACATTACCACTCATTTGAATTCCACTCAAATCTTGCTGATGTCTCTTGAGTTTTTCTCCCTGGGTTTTCACTTCTCGCTTTGTCCTTCAGATCTCGATTCTTAGATTATCCCTTAGTCCTGATTACTTCTCTGTACTTGAACCTGCTTGCTTGGTTTTGGGCTGTCTTCCCATGTACCGAACTTGCCTTGCTTTTGAGACGACTTTTGGAATCTCCGTGTGTTTTGTCTTTTTGTAATTCACCAGGTCTGCTTCTTGCCTGTTTATTTTACTCCCAGAATTTGTTCACTTTGATTTTGTCTGCATGCTCAGCTCCTTGCCTGCTGTTGGATTCCCCTTCCTGTCTCAAGGCCATGAGATGGGGCAGATTGGTGTCCATGCGCCAGTGGATTTTCAATTGCAGGCGTGACATCGTGAATCTGAAACATGGCTGTGTGCAATCTAGCAAGACAGGACAAACTGCCTCTTGTCCTTTTTGGTTTTCCAATATTGAGATTAGTGTCCTGGCTTTTGATGGCCGTCCAGAAACAAAATGATATCTTAAGATGTTCCAGCCTTGAACATAAAACTTCGACCAAGAGATGGTGAAAAAGTGAACTATTATTTTTTTGTCTCCTAGTTCATAAAAAACTGCTCAACACAGGTCAATCTCAATGAATCAGTGAAGACTCTCCTGGACAAGATTCTTCATGAGAAATCGATGGCTGCACAACCTTTCTGTAAGCTAGTCAGCCTTAATAAGGGATTCTTTCCATCTCTTCGGCCTCTCACAGACGAGCTGGAGCAGGCAGGTAAGATAAAAAACAATAAGAATATAAATGTTGCAAATGAGAGGAGTTCCTTAGGCCAGTATACTATAGATTGTTTGGTAATTGATCCAAGGATCTCCCCTAGCCATTTCTTGAAAGAAGCCAGCGGGCAAGCTTCAGAAATATGGCTGAATTGCTTGTTCCAGACTTAAACAACCCTTATTAAAAAAAAATGCTTCCTATTTTTGGATTTAAATGCATTTTGCCATAATTTCCACTTGATTATTCTGTTTTATGTTCATTTGTTTGTTTTTGCCTTAGACTCTGAAGACTTTGAATATTTGAACCAGATCCCCCTATGGTCTTTTCTGTTTATCAGTAAAATCTAAAATCATTCAGTTTTGTATCCAGTTAGACTAAAATTAATAATGGTGAGGAAGCACATTATCACCCTAAGTACCAATTCATTTGTGTACATGAGTAAATTTGTATTTGATCTCTCCTTCACCACAGTTGTAAAGCAACATTTATGAAGGAACTACATTGTACAAATTAACTATAGAGCGAGTAAGGATTTCATATCTCATGACCTGTAAAAAACTCAGCTTGCATGCTGAATGAGGCATAATCTCCAGACTGCTTGATGTCTCTTGCAGCTCCTAGCAAAATTTTAACTACAGTTTGTTCTTTTAAGATTTGGAAAATTGTGTTTCTGTGAATTACATCAGAAAGAAGGCTACCTCAAAGATGTTCCTACATGAGTGTAAGGCTGCATCTTGAGAGTCTGATAAACTTATTTTTAACATCTTGTCTGGATTTATAAAAATAAAGAATGTAGGCACATTGCTTCTATGGTTGCAGTAAACTATGGTAATGTATAATGCCAGATTTTTTTTAAACCACAAACCCACACTGCTTCATAGCTTATTAATTACTCATAATATTTATTACATAGTATTTATATTTATACATTATACAGTAAATATATTATCTGCTTTTCCGCTGTTCTTCTTCAATGCATTGCATAAGGGAGTGGATTTTTAGGCTTTGTTTAGTTTTCAAAGTAATTTGTTAAATGTCAAAGTGGAATGACTCCTTTTAGTTTTAGAAGCAATTGTACCACTTGAATAAAGATTAATACCTGAAGCTTGGACTGGAGGTCATTAAAACTCCTTTTTGAGCCTTAAATTTATTAAGGTTTTACCTTTTTTCATTAAAAAAAACACTAATAGTAAAATAATAAAAGTACTACAATTGCCAGGTGGAATATGTGCCTCCAGGAGGACATAACTAAAATCTGGTTTATTAAGCATTAAAGACAAAGAAACTTGCAAAATTCATCAGAATGTCTTCCAAGGTCTTATGACCTTGAAGTTCTGTTTAGGGCAGGGGAACCAACTAATTTCCTGGAGGGTTTAGTGTTCTGTGGCTAATGTTACAACCTGAAAAGTCAATTAAGGTGTGAAACATTTTCTTAAATATGATTTTTTACAGTGTTTTATAGTTTGTTACTCAGAAATACAGTACATTACACTTCACTACTTTTACAGTTTACTGTGAAACACCCTGGAGCTTGTTAGAAGTATTACAAATTACACAGTTAATGATTAGACCAGCTATGAAACTGAGAGCTTGAGAAGAAGACAGAAGACATTTGGCCCTCCAGGAGCTTTGCTTGAGACCCTTGAGTTAAGGTAAAATTGAGTTCATGTGTAACCTCAAGCACTCAACCATGAAGTTAGTTAAAAGATCCTATAGCCCCAAAGGAATAAAAAAACTTTTTGAAAGAATCCTTTTTTTTTATTTTTGCTACAGGGATCAAACCGGAAATAAAAGGCAAAGTTTGAGAACTTAATTTTTTTTTTGTTCCTGGGCAGGTTGATGAGCTTAAAAAACTTGTGACTTTTTCTGATCATGTCAAGGATAGAATAAAAATCTAAAAATAAGTTCTGCTTGTTTAGTTCTAGAAAAGTCTAATAGCAGGAGAGTTCTCAGACATGATCAAAGTATCCACAAACCAACAACATGTCAAGCAAGCTTGGGGCTATGGTATAGAAGGGCATACAGTAAACCTTTCCTGCGGAGTTGTAAAATATTTTTGTAACAATTATTGACAAATGGCTGTGTAGGGACTGTTTGAATCACAGCAGTTCAGTGATACAAACTAATTCTGTAGAAATACAACAGTATTCAAACTTGACATTTTTGTGTTCTGTATATATCTCTTTGTGGGTAGTTGCATAATTGATTTAAGAAGATCACAAATTGTTTTATGGAAGGTTCTGCTTGCTTTCATTGCAGTACACTGCTGGACTGTGATAAAAATATTGTACTTGTAATTAGCTAGGTATCTGCTTAGATGAAATTCTGATCACTTTTATCTAAATGAGCATTTAGAGCCCTACATTAAATGAGGAAAAGATTTGAATTATTTATTTTCCTGTACTATAATACGAAGGTTTAGGAAAGAGTGAATAGGTATGATTTTAAGGCATATTCTAACAGATTTTAGCTTCTCCTAAGACGTGACTTTGATGCATTATCTGAAATAGTACATGCAGTATCTGAAACTGTAAAAATAATCATATTTAAGCCCAAAATTCAAACCAATGGAGATTTTTAACCAATAAAGTTTTGTCAGGGTAGGGCCCAATAACTACAGTTTGTTGTACATAAGTTGAAACTGTAAATACATTCCTGAATAGAAGAAGATACAGAAGAACATTGCATTTGGCACTCAAAACTCTACTAAAACTCTAGTACAAAACTCTGCTTTAGCCTAAAATTAAACATCACAGCTGAGGTTGTTAGTGATGACTACTTCTCATATTGAAGTAGTAACTTTAGATATTCTCAGTACTGACTGGAAAATCATTGTTATAAAAAAATTAATCTGTAATAAATAGAACTGTCTGAATTATTGACAGTGAAGGACTACGAGGATCTTTGTATATTTTATGCTCTGAACATGCAAGCTAGCATTTGTTACAAAAGGATAAACCTACAACAAGTGTCTGAGAGTTCTCACTGTCCAGGGGTGTTGAGAATCAAAGAGAAACCACATTCTAGAATAGATGGCATCTCTTAAAGATTCAGTTTGCTCTTCTACCGTGGATTGAGTTGCAGTTTTGCTATTGATATTGGATGATTAGTTGTTACTGTATTTATGAACAGTTTTTATGATAAATCGGTTAAAATTACATGTTTTTGTAAATTAAATATTGTTTTAATTTATAATTGCCTTTATCAGAATTATTTTTTGTCCACTGTGTCATTTTTCATTTGACATGCTTCATGTGCTGCGGGGACATACATGAGGTATAGTGCCCATTACAGGAGTGGCGGGTAACTTAATTTTGGTGGATCACTAGATTTAAAGAACAGTGGACTAAAGCATTAAAGTGAAGGAAATTATATCAAATAATTAAGAGTAGGTCTACAAGTATCTTCAAGTTTCTGAATGCTACAGTCGCAAAACCTTTAATACTTTAGCTGTATCTGTCTAAATCCACTTTCTTTCTCGAACTTCAATTAGAAATTTGATATATAGCTTTTTCTTTACATTAATTTAATGTGAACCATTAGTCTGGTTTATTTCTGCCTCTTTTAAACCTTCTGTTTGTGACTTGACAGCCATTTCTCTTTTGGCTTTCCTCATTGTGTTTAAATCTCCCCTGCCTATGTGTGAGCACTTGTCTTTCAGTCTGTACCCTGCAAGCTTTCTTCTGATAAGGCGAACACACAAGCAGCAAAAAGAACATAATTAAGAGGTGTATTTTGTTTGTAATCATATTTTTTAATCCTGTCAGTCCTCCTTTGAGGTAAATGGCGATAGAGGACTTGAACTAGTTTCTCGGTGGGACAAGTCTGTGACACTAATCAGGTTGCCCGTCTCATAAATTATTCTTGTAGACCTTTGGTATATAAAATGGCATTCCCAAAAGAAAACAGGTCTGCTTTCAAGCCTAAAAAAAAAAAAAAAACTATTGTATGAATTCTTCTGACTCTCAGGAGGCCAAGAGCTTAGACTGTTTTCAGCTCTGGTGAAAGTAGATAACCAAGTGTTTGAATAAAAGCCGAAAGTTTGTTGGATAAGTTTAATAAATCAATATTCAGTATAGTTTAAGAATATCCAATAACTGAAATGTATCCAAATAGTATTCAGAGGGGCTGTTATTTATTTCCCTGTGATATGTGTAGTGTTTGAAAATATAATTGCTTTAGAATATTCAGAAGCAGCTGAGCAATATTCTTGAGACCAAGTCAGGTCTTTTCTCATTAGCCCACAGACACCTCTAGACTAGACTATGGGTTGTAAATGAGGATGCATGTAAGCAGAGAGATTGGAGGGGACCCATCTTTTTTAATTCTTCTCTGATGAGTTCAGATTGGTAAGCTGAATTAGAAATGGGCAAACCCAGTTGAGCAGAAAAAACAGAAAAGTGACATTGTTACTTTTAAAAATTCTATTTCTCAGAAAAGAAAGTGCCGTGACAGTTTAGATTGATGATTGTACACATTGTCTGATAGGTAAAGGGCTCTCTTATAGTTATAGTGTGAACCTTTTAGTCCAGAGATCATAACACTTTTACTCTCGTGTCATTAGTTGAAGTTGACTGGATGTTGTTGACTCTCTGGCCGAGAGTCACTAGGCTTGGATGGGATTGCATTTGCAAGAGTTGCCTAACTATCTGTACTCCTGTGATCCTCCCAGTTGTTTGACAGACATATGTGGACTTGCACTGTTATCAGTGATGTTCACTGAAGTCCTCTATGTTGATAAACTGCTTTTTATGTTCTGGGCTTGCAGTCCAAAACATGAAATGAAATGGATGAGTGATCAAATCAGGATTGAAAAAGAAAAAAAATGTATTAAAGAAAAACAATAAGAAAAAAATGTTTATTTTTTGTGCTTCTGGGCACCTCCCTGCATCTTCAATGAAGAACATAAAAACTATTAATGAGTAGAGGCTTTTTATCCCACCTAGGTTGTTTGGTTGAACTTTTCTCACCTAACAATGTTGTGAAACCATCCCTTTGTATCACTTTTGAGTGTCCATTATAGGAATAACATTTTTATAACAAAGTGAATGATGCTTTATTGATGCTATGCACAATTTTAACAGATCTTCCCTTGATTTAATAATTTTGTATGTATGCCTTTTTATATTTTCTCGCCATACAGTCCAGATCATTTACATAAATTATGTCAGATTAGACATTTGCACCTTTTTCCTAAGTGGCTTATTTAAGCTACTGTATGTTACTGCTATGTGTGTGTAAACTGTGCACCTGTGCACACGGGCCAGGAGCTGAATTCTGACCCAGCGCCTTGCGCTGCCGATTCTTGTCCCAGAAAGAGTGGCGGATCGGAAGAGCAAGCTTGAAGAGCCGCAGACAGGGGAGGGTGAGAAAGATCCGGGCGATGGGGTAGAAAAAAAGGGAGGAAAGAAGGGAGGAGCGAAGCAGAGCTTCCCCTGCGAGTGGTGTGGGAAGACCTTTGAATTCAAGTGCCGGATGGAGGTGCACCGCAAGAGGTGCCGGCTCTCCGAGCAGACACAGCTGAAGTGCCCACAATGCCCCGAGAAGATGTCCACCCCCAAAGCCCTGCAGCAGCATCTTGCCAAGTCCCATGGCAGCCCGCCTCGCAAGAGGAAGAAGAGACGCCATGAGCCGGTGACCTGTGATATCTGCGGGAAGAGCTTTGCCCACCAGTCAGGTGAGAAAAAGGAGCTGATCCTGAGTGGCACACCGGTTGATCCCTGTAAGGTAAACGTGAACCTGGGCTCAGCTGTCTGATGACAGCCAGGTTTGGGTGGGTTCGAGTCTGAAATCCCAGCGCTCCTGTTTGTGCTTTGGCAAGGGCACAATGAAAATAAACAGATGGGTGAATACTCCACTCTTCTGTAAATATTGTGCATGTTCATCTCTCATGGTATTACACGAGATATGGTGGAAATCCAAGCTGTTTAAGTGGATGTGATTTCAAATGTAGTATGTATACAATGTGATTCAGTTTTTTTGTGTATGTAGCAGACAGTTTACATGTTGTTTCGCCCTATTCTGTGGGCTTTAAAAGACAGTTCTTTCTCTTTTCTTTCAGGCATGCTTTACCACAAGCGTACAGATCACTTTGATGAGAAACCCTATTCATGTGAAGAGTGTGGAGCTAAGTTTGCAGCCAACTCCACACTGAAGAACCACATGAGGCTCCACACAGGAGAGAAGCCCTTCTTCTGCAAGCACTGCGATATGACCTTCACCCAGGCTGCAGCACTGGCCTACCACTACAAAAAGAAGCACTCTGAAGGTACGGTGTGTAGGGGAGGACTAGCTTGAAAGTCAAGCATGAAGTTTAATTTCAGTTTAATTCAAACCTAAACAGATTTCGCCCTATATCTAACCTATCCTCGCAAAAAGTTTGGAATGTGCTGTTACAATTCAGTTAAACAACCATCTCATTGCGAGTAATCTCTCAAAACCCACCAGTCTGGTTTCAGACAACTACACAGCACAGAAAGCTTTGACCTGGTTAAAGTCACTATCTTCTTATGGCTTCTGATTTTGTTTCTGTTTCTATTATTCTCCTTGACATCAGTGCTGTTTTTGACACTGTTAACTATGACTTTCTCTCAACTGTGTTTGGAGTTTCTAATACTGCTCTTAAATTGTTCAAGTCTTACTTCACTGATCACTGTCACTTTGTCTCTCTTGGTGGGTTCAGTTCTGAAATCAGTCTGATATTCCTCAGGACTTGATACTGGGACCTCAGCATTTACATGTTTCCTTTTGATCAGCTTTTAAGATCCCATGGTCTAAATTATCACTTCTACACTGAAAACACTTAAATCTACCTCCTACTAAACCTGACACTGAAGTGGCTGTCTTTGCTCTCTGATTGCATATCTGACATAAAAACATGGACGACTTAAAAAATGTGACAACTATGAAAACTATCCTTCATTTAAACTGCAACAAGACTGAAGTCCCACTTTTTGGCACCTTCCATCAACTACGTAAAGCCAATTCAGTAATTGTTCATCTATGGATGGCACTGTACTTGAGTTTCCATCTAGATTGAAGAACTTGGGGGGTGATATTTGATCCAGGCTTGACATTCAACAGATATGTGCAACATATTATAAAAACATAATTCTTCCACCTCAAAAATATTGCCAGACTACATTCTATGTTGTTGCTAACTGTTGCTGAAAAGCTAGTCAACACTTTTGTTTTCTCTCATATTGATTACTGTAATGGTTTATTCGCCTGTATGTCTAAATCCACTTTGAACGAACTACAATATGTCCAGATTTTTGAAAGTGATCACATTACTCCTATCCTGGAGTCCTTCCACTGGCTTCCTATTATGTTTCATGTCAACTTCAAAATCCTTGTGCTGGCCTGTCTGAGCTACTATTGTCCTACTCCCCACCTCACAACCTAATTCTGGTGTCCTGTCTGTCTCCCAAGCCTGTCTACTCTGTATGGGTGAAAAGGTCTTCTCTTGCTGTGCCTCAGAGCTCTGGAATTCTATCCCCAAGGATATCAGAGAGTCACTTTCCTGAGCTCTTTCTACTCAAGCAACTCAAAACTTTCTTCTTTAGAAAGGCTTTTACTTAACTGTTTCTTTATCTACCCCTTTGCTTTCCTTCTGTATTCAAACCCTCATTGTAACTGTGTGACTCTGCTATCTACTCTCACTGTGTATTTCCTTTATTTCTTATTCTTTTTTCTCTCTGCAAAGTGCTTTGAGAAGTGCTTTTAAATGTGCTATATAAAATAATTCAGGTGGGTAGCTGCGTCAGCATGCGTAGGCTGCAAAGGAACAAGTAATAGGTTTATTCCATACTGAAAAAAAGAAGAACGTTTCGGCCGTGGAGCCTTCTTCAGGTGTGCACACCTGAAGAAGGCTCCACGGCCGAAACGTTGTGTTCTCTTTCTTCTTTTTTTCAGCATGGAATAAACCTATTACTTGTTCCTATATAAAATAATGTTTATTATTATTACCATTAAATTATTGAAATAAAGACAATGTATTCTATATGGGATTAATTTTTCACTTGTTAATCCACTGGATATTTTTATTTGTGAATGTGTGAGAAAATAATTTTGCCGAACTGACATCTTGAGAAGTTAAAAAATGGCACTAAATTACACCTGAAATCTTGAGAAAGAACAATGTACACACTTTTCCAAAAACAGACCAAGCTGCTTCTGTTGTCATAGGGTGTCCTTCCTAAATATTCACATTGAAGACACTTTCAGACATAGTTTGTCTGTCTGAAAAACTTTGCTGTCGCCATTTTATGCAGATACTCTCTCTAATGCATAAGAATATATGCAACATTATGCAATATATGCTATATCGTGGAAATAGCTTTCATTTAGGAGGATTTTGCTGGTCTACAGAGATCTGCATGGAGTACCGACATACAGAAGACATGATGGATGGATTAATACCCTTATTCATCTATTTCTTTTTTTAATTGTATAATATTAGCATGTCAAACTGTGCCTATTTTGATTTATTTTCCATTTGTCTTACTACTTTCCATACTTCTTTTAGATTCAGTTTTGTGGCTTCCATGCTTTAGTCTGTTATACATTTTGGTAAGAATTAATAACGAACGGCCATAAACAGAACTTTATAAATTTATTTAAATGTATTTAACTAGTTGTAAAAAGAGAGAATCTTTCATATCCATAGATGTTAAATTTACACATATACTTGTATTAGAATTGTGGACCTCTAACAGAAAATGTTGCCCATAATAAGTAAGTGAGCAGGTTAGATCCATGATTCCCATGTAAAGTGGTGCTTTTCTCCTAGGGAAGATGTATGCCTGCCAGTACTGCGAGGCTGTGTTTGCCCAGTCCATTGAGCTGACCCGCCACGTCCGCACTCACACAGGAGACAAACCGTATGTGTGCAGGGAGTGTGGTAAAGGCTTCAGCCAAGCCAATGGGCTGTCAATGCACCTGCAGACCTTCCACAGTGAGTACAGCCAACAGTCTTTGCAGTATTAAAACGTCCGGGAAAATTGCATTTTATATATGAAATACACTGGAGACATTTCCTTATATAACTAAACGTCCAAATCGGTGTTTGTAGAGTATTTTGTCACTCCACCTTGCTCAGGTGAACCCCTCAGGATTTGTAGATATAAAATGTCAGTTGTCAGAAAATTAAATAACACTTGTGTACACCATTTTCTAGAGACCAGCTCTGAAAGCCATTTTCCCGATTTCCATTTCAAAGGGAACCCAAAGGTCCTCGTAATTACTCAGTTTACCATGTTACAGCCAAACACATTAATATTACGTTTAATGAATTGAACAGTGAATGTTTGGAAAGGATACATAAGAGACTAACAATGACATTTTTTACAATTCGTATAATAAAAACATAATATTATGACATTTAGTCCAGCTTTTGCCAAAAATACGTGTTCACCCTTAAAGATGTATGGATCTTGTGTGCTGTCAGATATTGATGACCCCTACGACTGCCAGAAGTGCCGGATGAGTTTCTCATGTCTGGAGGAGCACCGGAAGCACATCCAGGAATCGCACCCCAAGGAATTCCACCCCTGTGTGGTGTGTGGGAAGATCTTCAATGCTGCCGCGCTGCTCGAGAAACACATGGTCATCCACGTGGGGGGGAAGCCTTACAGCTGTGAGATCTGCAACAAGGCCTACCAGGTACACTCCCAGCCTCTGCTGGGGACCATGTTAAAAAAGATAAAACAAGTCTTGACTTCCACAGCCATGCTAGGTTTCCACCTGTTTTTTCTCTCTGACAAAGCAAAACAAGCAATATGAATAGAGATAGTACAGCTTTGAGAATGGGTTTTTAGCTTATTTATAACATTAGCAGTTCTTTTTTTCTATTCTCAAAGCAAATCTGCAGCCTACAGGGTCTAATCAGTCAGGCACTGATTTGATTACTAATGAATCTTCCATCAGGTGTAGAGCACATTACAGGATTCCTAATGTGTTTTGTCTCCACCAATCCCTTTAAATTACACACTTTGCCTTTTTGTTGTTGACTTCCTGACAACTTTCTCAACTGATTTTTGCCACTCTCATGTTGCAAATGTCCAGCTGCATTCACCAGGAGGAAATGATCTTCAAACGACGGGAAGCCATTCGGTGCATGTCATTCGTATAAAGCCTTAACTTATTGAATCAGAGATTGTTTCTAGCTGTTTTTTTTAAGGAGCCAGAGGTTGGGAATTAGCCCAGTTTCTTACAATTAAGAATTAATTTGTAAGCATGATAGTCCCCTTGGTTGACCCTACCTACATACACAGCTTTTGGAGATATGTATGCTCTGTGTTTGCATTGTTTGAAAGCCTTTCTTTTGCATTTCTGTGATGGAAACATGTACTCCAAATAACAAGTACACATTTACTTGTTGATGCATATCTTAGAAGTTAAAAGACTTTCAGGATTTTAAAAAATACTATCAGAAACTGCATAACCGACTACACAAAGTTGTGCCCTTGTTTGTATTTCATTTGATTCTTTAATTCGCAGAAAAAATGAGCAGGAAGATTGTGTGGGTTTTTAGTCAATCTAGTCCAGAATGCTCCTTAACTCTAAAACAAATCTCCAGGTAACCAGTATAATTGAATATATTCCTTGCTTTTCAGCAAGTCTCTGGGCTGTGGTATCATAACCGTACCAATCACCCTGAGGTGTTTGCTGGACAGAGTCATCGCTCTGTGAAGATTTCACAATTCCAGTGCTCATCATGCGATAAGACATTCCCCAGCAGTGAGACTCTCAGCAAACATGAAAAAGCCATGCATCCAGGTAAGGGTCAAAGAACTCAGAACCTGAAGAAGCAATCAACAGCGGTTGTGTACAGTAGTGTACAATAAATTTAAACCATTTGGAAGAAACATGCAAACAAGTTTTAACACATGCATTATATTGTAATATTAGTGTCACAGTCTCATCCTTAGTCCCACTCACAATTTTCTGCATTATTTATCCAACCTAGGACTTTGATGAGGTGGAGATGGTCCTCCCAGGTGTTATGTAGATGACTACATAATACAAATATGCAACACAGTAATCATCACATCCCTCACCTGTCCATGAGGTGTTGAAGTTTGGCAGGAGCTCCATGAAGTCCAAAAGGCATAACAAAACACACTGATTTTTTTTATGCCCTGGCTATTGACAATGGAAACATACTGTACAAAGTCCTTACTTGCCATATGGGCTGCATTGTATTTTTCTTCTCCTTTGGCCATCCTCAAGACTCCAACCCCCTCAGAGGTACTTAAAACGTTCCAGTCATCCTTAGTCTTTTTAAGTGCTATGGGTATAGTCTGCTGATGTCTTGATGGACCCTCTCGCTGTTCATTGAGGTACTGCAGGGCCAATTTTGCAGCTGTTAGCCCATCCTCCGGTTTATGTTCCTTGGACCCAGATCCTGACGTCATAAGGAAGGATTCAAAGCATCTTATTCAGCGCACTAAACCCTTATTTGGCTTCTCCTCTGATACATCTGATTCAACTGTTTCCCAGGGCCCCTTCTCTGGCTTCGTTGATCGGGCTTTCTGAGAGCACAGTCCGGGCCTCCCTCTCTGGGAAAGTTGTCTTCTGTGGATTGCCTTCCCACTCCTGACACCAAAAATATCACAGCCTCGTCCTTCAATAGTTCAGAAGCACAAATGGGATGCAGCAATAATGATGACACAGCTACAATTACAAAGAAGAGGATCTGTGTTCCCAAAGTCCACACCCAAAAACACCTGATAAAATACAAAGTAATCAAAAGGAAAAAAAAACACAAATCTATAGTTACAAAAATATATACATTAATTGATTAAAAAAATAGATTGCTGTAGTTAGCTCCTTCTCTACACTACTACAAGCTTCCTCCTATCTCCTTTCTCCCTTCCTGAGGACCTGCTTTCTAGGTAAAACTTCTCCCCCTAGAAGATTCCACTGCAAAGCAAAAAGGAATTATACAAAATAATAATCAGAATTCTGATATGCAACTTCCTCCAATATATACACAATTTAAAATTCAGCAAGTCATTAACAAAAATAAAATGCTATTAATCCCTTTATGTACATACATATTTTTAAAAAAATATAGCCCCCACATAACCGTATCTCATTACATATAGAACCATGCATGCACAGCCCTGGAACAGGCACTGCTAAGCCAGCACCTGTTACCGTGGTTGAGTCCTACAGGTTTTGGGTGAGAAAACAGAAGAAGGCATGTATTAAAAATCTGTGAATTAAACATGGATTTGTCCACGTACATTTAGTTTATTTCATTTATCAAACAAAGGAAACAGGTGTTTGGTTTAAGTTAATATTTAGTTTTGACCTTATATGAACGACCTTACTTTACTCTGTGTGCACTCGCAAAGCAAGCAAAGCTATCTAGATTCCAGACTAGTTAAAGTTTGTTTATGTTTGAAGCCTTTTTTATCGCCTTTTATACTTGGTGAATTGTTGGTGTATGTGTATGTGTGGATACCTTACGAGTGCCAGGTGATCTGGAAACAAAGTCTCCAGTCACAATGAGACAATGACAAATGTGTTGCATTTCAAAGCTTCAGTACATTCAAGTAATCTTAGTTATATTTATCTGAAGCACATATTCACATATATTTTACAAAAATATATACATGTTTCTGAAATACATTTGAGAATATACTGGGCATCAGAAGAAACATTTATCGTTTTATGTATTACACTTAGACTTGCTTTCAGTGGATCCAAGATGAATTTAGGTTTTCTGCAGTCCACCCCAATAAAAGGTAGGGGGTGAAGGCCTGAGACTTCATCTGCTGCTCTTTCTGCAGACTCATTCTGGTGTGACATTTCAGTATGACAATGACAATGTATATCCTCATTTGACTTGTGTAACAACAACTTTTTTTGCAAGATGAGAATATGAGTGATATGTTGTAGATGCCGCCCTTTAACAGACTTAAATCCTATTGAACTTATGTCCCTTGAGTTAGTGGGATGAACTGGGATGACATGTTGCATCTAGAATTTAGAGACAAGTGAAGTCTTGCTTTTCCAGACTCGGGCAGAGTAGTGGGACGGAATCCCATAATTAGACTTCTTGTGATGCTCATTCTATTTATAATGTTTATAACAATACAATAGTTTTTAAAACATATGTAATAAAATTGATCTCACTACATATTCAAGAGCATATTAATGTGTGCTTCCAGTCTGTTTGTAACATTGCTATTGCTAACATTGCCTTTAACTCCTTCATACAGTGTTAAGCCTCCCCTATGCCAAGCATGCTTGGTGCTTTGCAATAGTATTTAAAAAGTTTACTATCCAACACAGACCAACAGAGTTCTCACAAGGCCATAAAAGCTATAAGCTGCATTTCCCACCACATCTTCTCTCTTGGATATAATCTAATTCCTTTGGCCTATCAACACATTACCCCTCTGACCTGTAAGTGCAGCTAGGTGCATAAGCAATAACCCATTCCTGTCAATGAGAAGCCTGTGACTATGAAAGGATCTTGTTTGTTATAAGCAGAATCTTAAAATCAATCCTAAATTTAAGTGGAATCCATGCAGCGATACAGTGGCTTGGGTAATGTGCTGTGAATAATGAGTGGCAATTGTGACTGCACTCTTTTCTGGCAGTTGAAGCCAACTGAATGAGAGATAAGAAGCACATACTGTATATAGCGACTACAATAGGAAATTCCCAATTAATTCTTTTATACAGCAGTTTTGGCTTTCTCTTTCATCTAACACTTTAATTTAGTACACTTTAATTTAAGTATTTTATTTTAGAAAAGAGGGAAGGATTGAAGTTCAAAAAGAGCAATTTAGTCCAACTCCTTGAGCTGTCTGAAGGTGCCCAATTTTAGTAGAATTACTTCCACATCGGAAAATTTAAAGAAAGCAGATTTGGTTTGCTATATAAATATGTCCGATTCTTCATTATGTTGTATCCATCAAGGAGGAACTGGATACTTTGATAAATACTCAAAACTTCAGCTTGTATACCCCAAACTGCATGATCAGACTAAGAATAGATTCTCAGAGGTTTTGACTTCTAATAATAATTTATTGGCCAAATAGCCTTTGTTCTGAGCTTATTGTACACATGCTCTTCTGTGCTTGAGGGCTAAAATTAAAATTACTATGGTCAGTCATCAATCTAGATGACTGTAATAATAACTTCCACAGAGCCAATGAATAGTAAATCTTCTGGTGTGCCATCTTAATCTTTGAATTGAACCCATAGGTTTGCTTTTAACAAATCAGTTCCATTTGGACCTTTAGAATCACAGTCAGATTTCCTTTAGAGCCTTGTTTTAGGCTGGGTTTTCTCAGTCCTGGTCCTTGAGACTCCAGTGTCTGCCTGGTTGTGTCCTGGGTTCCTGATTATTTAATTGAACCCTGTGTTTAACGAGTAATTTGGAAATTTGACGTTTCTTATTGTTTTCAGAGTTTAACTGTGCCAATTAAATACTTGAGGGTATCTTACAACTTTTAGGAGAACAAAACAATTTAAAAATTTTAAAACAAAGACCAATTAAGGGTTCAATTACGTATCATGAGTCTGGAATGAAAACCAGCAGACACGATAGGAATTGTGAAGCCCTACAGTGAAGATTTAGATGGTATTTTCTGGTGTCTCTGCATGTCCTGAAATACTATTAGCTCTTCTTTGAATGTCACCCTTTGTAAGATTAATATCCTGATTCAGTCCTACTGAGATCACCTCATGGTGACAGTGGTTAGGGTTCACTTTAAGTCAGGACAGTTTTGTTCTCAAGGTAATTTTCTTTATGTTTTTCTGCCTACAGATGTAAAGCTTTTCAAGTGTCAAGACTGTGAAGATGTTTTCCCCGATGCAGAGTTACTGAAGACGCACACTAAGGAAAAACATGAAGGTGAAACTGTTGTGTTACCATGATTAAACTGAGGTGTTGCTCTGGGTCTGCACACCCCCTTGACTTGCTGAAAAAATGTGGAATCCTAGATTACTGGGTAGCAGAGGGATTAAAATTCCCCAATAAATGTGACACGATACAGCAGATGATTTAAATTATTGGATGTAGTGAGCTTCTAGCAGCAGGCCGGCACACTGTTTTTTTAATATCTAAATGCTGAGGTTTTGTTTTACATTGGAAGGAAAGCACGATCATCTTACGGTGTTAAAAAAGTAATATTTTTCAGCAAAAACTTTTAGGAAGGTAGTTAATGCCCTTGGGTAAAATATAGCATTTTTATGTATTAATCTTTATAAAAGACAAAGCATAGTATTCTGTTGGCAAACATTGCCTACATTTTTAGGGTATCTTAATTACATCATAAAGTTAAATGAATAAATGTATGTATGAATTGATTTAAAGACCTCCAAAAAGCTGCTTGGTACTGGTGACTCAATCCAACATATTCCTTAAATAATTTAGATTTTGAACTACCTAGGTAGATATGAAAGTAACTGAAACCAGGAACTGTCTTTTCAGGAGCCCAGCTGTTTAACTGTCTGTACTGTCCATCATCATTCCAAACCACGGCAGAACTGCAGCAGCACCTCTGCGTGCAGCACTTTAACCAGCAGGGGGAGGCCTTTGGATGTGGACACTGTGACTTGATCTTCCCATCGCAGCAAGAACTACAGGAGCATTTCCTCTCCCAGCATCCCGCTGAGCTTCAGTCCAGCTCTGAGGCTTCTTCAGCGCAAATGGTAAGAGTGACTCCCCTCCTTTTTCTCTTCACATTGCATGTATTCATCACCCAAAATATTAGGAATGCTCTGATGGATGTACAAGGAAAAGCAATGCCTTATAGTTGGTTTAAGAAGAGTCCATCACCTTCCCTGGTCAGAGAAATCCCCACACCTCTCTCCTGTATTTAAAATGCTTTGATAAATTATATTCCCACTGAAACCAGCTGGAGAAATATAATGCACAGATCAGACCTACGCAACATTATTCCTACTACAACCTCAACTAAAGGCAACCATGCTTGAAGAATGAAGAAGGACTGGAATGCAAATGTTTAAATGCCTTGTGGAATACATGCCACACAGTGTTCTTGATGCTCCACAGAGGTGCAACATGGGGTCATAAATATTCAGAATAGGAAAATAAAACATAATAAATGCTATTGTTATCAGTGCACATTTATTCTTCTTTTAATGCCTCATTTTATCGTGCTTATAGAGTGTCCATACTGTATGTAAATCATATTACTGTTATCTTTTTTTAAATTAATTTGTTATTCCTTCTGGCAACACTCCTTGTACCAGTGCCTGGAATACGAAGGCAGTGTATGCGCACAGCCTCTGGAAGGCGCTGCCAAGTCAAGCTCTTCATTATGCTCCTCAAACTGACTACACACTGCAGAGCTTATCTAGTGCTGAAAGCTCTCAAGTGCCTGGCCAGTCTCAGGGTCCTCTCTTTAGTGTGCAGTATAGGCAGCATCCTGGCTGTCTTTGAAAACACAAACACCAGTCATACATGAATACCTATTATATCTGTGGTGCTGCACCACTTCTGTTTCAGCACTGATCTGATCCTGAATTTGCCTGTGTCTTGTTTGCCGTTCCCATGTGAAGCTTCGTTTTCCTTCCTGTTTGAAATGTGAAGGTGATCAGAGCCGCAGAGCAGCCAGGGGCGGCGGAGCAGATGATCACACTGGAGCAGTCCCAGGTCGGGAGCCCTCAGGTCTATGTGGCATTGGCGGACTCCCAGAATTCCACCTCTGGCTCCGAGATTGTAGCTGTAAACGTGGAGGACCTTCTGGATGGCACCGTCACTTTCATTTGCGAGGACACGCAATGAGGCTGTCGTGGTTCAGGTTCTTCTGAACTGTGCCTGACTGAGCAGGGACTGCTGCACTGGGACACTTGCTGTGATGTTACAGTCAGGTACAGTCCGGAGCCCCTCCTTAGACTTGTGGTCTTCATGGTATAAAAATACAGTTTTCAGGCTCATGGATGTACTTTCTTCAGTAGTGGTGCGACAGTGGTGTCTCACCTGTTTCCCTGCCCGTCTTTTCCAATGTTAACCAAAGTTATTCGAACTCAGCGTTTCGTGTCCGAATTACAGTGTTTAAAATGTCTGTGCCTGTGTCTGAGTTTATAAAACAGACTAAATGTAAGCCATTGCCCTAGTTTTGTTTTCCACCCAGTGAGACTGTAACTGGATATTTGTTACACTGCAGAGACCAAGAGTAGACATCTTGGTTGGATTAATTTGAGTCTCTAGCAGCTTTGGTTCAGTTGGTAATTTTCAACACCTAAAGCACTTTGGAGCTTTCAGTGTGAGAAAAGGGCAAATGAACATGTCTGTGGGTTTTCCCTATGAGACACACCTCTCGCTGCTGCTAAAGCCAAGCAAAAAAAAAAGTCATTTCTAAATATTCTAAATAAAAACAAATGTGCGCACAAGCAGTAAATGCACCATCTTTCACCATGTATCACATTTTTTTTTAAAGCCTACGTGTTGAGGCATTTATTTCCTATAGTGTATTTAGTCTGACAGCCATACATGTCATTGATTAAATGATTAAAGGAGGACCATAAGTCAGGATAACTGGAGTTGTCTACCACTGCTTGAAATGGTAATATATTAGTACATGAGGAGCTAGGTTTTCTAATAGTGCTGTGAACTGCCAAAGGACCAGTCTAAAAGTATAAAGTTCTCCTTATTAAGGAAAGAAATAACTTAAGCAAAATATGTAAAAGTGTGATTTTTTTATGTCTTATTGTCTTTCGCTTATTCTTTTGTGCTTATGAATATTTCTACATTCTCTGACAGGTATTAAGAAATACTGTTGTAAAACATTCATAACATTATTTATTTAATTTTCTCCTATAATTTAGGAACACAAAAAGACTAGAAATCAAATAGCCTGATAAGTCTTTTCAACCTCGAGAGCAGAATATTTATTTTGTGCTGCATATAATCATGTAAATGCTGAAGATTTGTAGGTGTAAGTTGACATGATGTTAATTCGCAAAAGTGTAAAATTTGTTTAAAATTTATAAAAACAGCAAATGTGGACAATTTTAATGGTTATTAACTTATTGACCTCATATATACAGCATGTATTCCATTCTTTTCTGTTGTAGCTGTAGCTATTATCATGTTTCAGTCCAAGTTTTAGTTTGTGCAGTAGACATGGAAAACTACAGGTTTTCTTTTTACTTAAGCTGCTTTACCGTATTTTTTTGTTTTTTTTTCAGACCGAAATTCTTAATTGGCGAAACTATAATGGCTCTTACTTTTTTGTTTCTTTGGTTCACATGTCATTGGTATTCCATATATCCTTCCATTTTCTAACCCCTTTATCCAATACAGTGCCGCGGGGGAGACGGAGCCTATCCTGGCAAGCAGTGAGCATAAGGTAGTATACTCTGTACCACCATGTCTCCCATCATAGATATTTTGCCATATAAATAATTTACCCACAGACACCTTCTGAAAAGTCTAAGAATTCATCTGAAGAATGTTGTCTGCTACTCACAAGTTGCAGTTCCTTCTCTTTCCCAGTTCATAGGAAATGTGGAGGATTTGCAGGAATAGGAAGATGAAACTTTGCTGTTGATTCACACCTTTATTAGAAAGGTAATACATACAATGACCATTTAATTTTTGGTATACTGCATATTACATATAACTTTGCTGTCATTTCACAGTTTTATTACAGAGGTAATAGATACCTATAAACCAGGCTTCAGTGCACCTTTAGATCTGGAAGTATGAATTTCAAGCATAGTTAAAAAGCAATAGATAATAGATCATATATAGATAATGAAAAGGAAATAGGTGATCTATGAAAATGAATATTTCACTTAGGTATTCATCAAGAACATATCAGCAACATGCCCAGAAATCAATAACAAGTCTAAAAGATGCAGATGTGCTACAGGAAGGAGAAGCCTTTAAAGTAAATTCCAGGTCCTGATGGTATTCTACCATTTCTATTTAAAACAACAAATATTCTGAGGATTTATGTGGTTAAATTTGAATAAGGGAAAAGAAAAAATATGTTATAAAAATGACACTGCTGGCAGTTCACAGTTATTTGCAGGGATATCTTATAATGGAAAAGAAATCAGTAAAACTGCACAATGTTTTGGGCTTTATTACCAAAGGAGATTTTAAACTTGCAAGTTAGGTGGGTGAGAACCTGAGAACACGATAAATCACCATTCTAGCTTAATTTGGTCCCAGTTCATAATCGATCCCAGGATCTTGTCCAGTTGTTCTTCGAAGGAAGCTGGAGTATAAATTCCAATAATGTGGGTGAATAACTAATCCAAGAATCCCACAACCTTTCACAAAACCTTTATTGTTTTTTTAAACGACATCATTCACAGTTGTTGGTTTGTGTTTTACTGTTGATCTGAAGTCAATGCCTGTGAAGCTTTTGAATACAGTGCTCAAGACTAGGGGTGCAGTTCTTTTACCTTGGCAGTGTAGGCCCATCATCCCTAGTGTGCCTGGGTTGCTCATCTTTTAACTGATTCACAAGCAGCATAACAGCATTTTTGTAACATAGTAACCAAATCTGTATTCAAAAGCTTTACAAAAACATAACACCATTCTTTGATTTAAATGCTGATCTTAGATAATTCTGTTTGCTTTTATATTGCTTTTAAACATAGTCTGGGGAAGAGAGTGATGTATCCAGCATCATTTTTGCAGTGATTTCTACTGATGTCTTTGTGCTCTACAGAATGTCACTTTTCCTCCATTATTGCTTTCCTAAATTATACATGCTATTTTGCACACAAAACTATGCATAGATTGACCTCTTTTCTTTTAGTATATTGTTGAAAAGGGGGAGAAGGAGAAGAATGTTCCACACAAAGACCCATTGTCCTTGTTGGGTTCCTGACATTCCAGCCACGGAGGTGGTGAGATTGCCCAGCAAAATAAAAATGAGCCACACTGTAAGACTGGGTTTGATAACCAATTCCTCATGCCAATACTCTCGAGTGGAAGTTTAGCCAGAATTATACAGTGGTTACATGTGCTTTGCTGAGATAACATCCACTTCAGCTACCTGAGAACTGCACCTATCCTAGCACAAAACATGCCCATTGCTAGTCCTGATTGGATTATATGGGATGGGGATGACAGCATAGCGATGCACTCTGAGTGATAAAGAAAACGCTCACACTGAGTGCTGAAAAAAGCACAGCTTCCTGCTTTGCTGTTTTGCAATTCTGCACACCAGGTGATTTCTAGGCCTTTGTGGAAAAGACATTGATAAAGCTGACCTAAAAGTTGTCTGTCTTTGCCTATCAGCTCTCATATTGACTGCCTCAAAATACTGCATAAGAAGAAAATGCATGTAAAAAGAAACTGACTTTATCCTACCTTCATAAATAAGTAAATTGAGTTTTGGAAATGTATTTTTGACCATTTCACACTTATGTTGAAAACTTTGGTTTAATTAAAATATAAAAAAATCAATGAGACCAGGTGTTCTTCCAATTCTCATAATTTTCTCTCACTTATCCTTTCATGTTATTTATACTTTGGATACCATGATGATTTAATTACTGCTCCCTAACCCTATTTAACTCACATACCCAGTTTAGCCTCCAGAAAAGTTTTAGTTTTGCAATGTTCTTTTCCTTTTAGCTGACCAAGATCTACTGGCAAATTTTAACTTCAGGAATAAATGTAAGCAATTCAGAAATTGCAGTGTTTAAAAAGTTTAACAATGTATCCAAAACTCAAAGACTGTAGGTGCCTCAGCGCTGGGGAATGTGGACTGCGGGTGCTGCAGTATTGGTGGGGATGAGGACTGCATGTGCAGTCCTCACACACCACAGCCGAGCGGCTCACATGTTAAAACAAAGCCTTACCGTGCTTGTCACTGGCGTGAGGTGTGATGTGCCTTTTTCTGGCAACACTGAAGCATTTGAGCTTCCAGTGTATCCCAGGTGTCACTGTGATGCACCTGGCCCACTGAGAGGCCCCAGTCTACAGGATGCCCAACCACTTGTGCATAACCACCAGGGGAACTGGTTTGAACTGGTGATATAGTGATTGTTGGGCTCCACCTGCAATCCCAACATCTTTTCTAATTGAGCCTCTTATCAATTTTTAAGTTACCTCTGATCTAAATCTCTAAATTTCTGGACTATTTATAAACTTGATTACACTTCAAAGCACACAATTGTTAGGTAACTCTTGGTTTTACACCTGATGCTGCACAGAGGACACAAGATGAGCCATAAATACTCATTTCCTTTGATGTAGCAGTAAATAGAGATTAGTCTTGATTTGCTTCTCTAGTTTCTTTGTTCTTTTTTCATTTTTATAGTGCAATGCAGGGAGCTCCAGAGAAGCTTTCCATATTTAGCATAATCAGTATGACACCATCTGTTCCCAAGGCACACAGCAATAATCAGTCAAAGTTTCTTCAAGCAGTGTAGAAGAATATTTTGCAGTAAACAGATGTACCTGCTCTGATTAAGAAATGTGCAGACAGCTTGATCATTGTTGTTTGAACCCTTTTAAGGACAACAGCAACCTTTCTTGCTTCAATATGATCTTGACAGATCTTGTAAGAGGTAGGTTGTGCTGTTTATGCTTTGATTCCAGCCTGCTTCAATTAAACCCCGGCTCTTAATTCAGAAGAAAGACAAACTTCTATTATGCATGATAAGGGACCTTTTCAGTTTTGTATACAAATGTAGGTTAACATTTTTATATAATTGGAATATCAATGTTTTTGTTAGAAATAATAGTGTTGCATTTTCATATCCTAGGTTATGTTCTTACAAGACATTTATACAAGACTGTCATGCTGTCAGCTGACTGCGTAATTCGGGTGGCAGTACAGTTATGTGGATTCTTTACATTTTTTAGACGGGTCTCCTGAGTGGGTCATGTAGTACAGGCACTTGCTCTGAGTGTATGTTCAGCTGTTCGGCTCAGACAACACCTTGGTCATGTTGTACTTACATGCAGCTGGCAAAGTTTCCAGAGGAAGCAGGCACTCAGTTGGCCTGTGTTTTCTCTGCACTCTTTTATGAACGTGGGAGACGTGCTGTTTCTGCAATTGGTGCTATCTCTCCTTTCAGGCACTGTGTCAAAACAAAGTTGCTTTCGTTTTCCATGAAACTTGCAGTTTTTTGCTAAGTGACTCATTTACTGTTAAATAGAGCACACCTCAAAGTTCATGTACTTCACAAGTTACAACATTCTGAACTGCTGGTAAAAGTTAGTGTACTTCACAAGTTACAGCATTTTGAAATGCTGATAAATGTTCCATGTTTACTAGTTAAGGCATTTTGAAACATGCTGTGCTTCCTGACAATCTCTGAGGCAGGTCTAATGGAGTATTTTTAAGAATACAGTCCTGACACTTGCATTGCAGATGACATTTGAAACCTTCAATCAAACTAAATACCCTGTGTTCTCAGAATGCATGTGTACTTTTTATGGGAAAAAAAAATCAAAAGAATTTTAATAAGCTCCCCCAAGCGCTGTGTCAACCACAGTATTATGGGTTCATTTTCCGTACACGCTGCCTGGGAAGAATATTTTATCTTTGTATTACCCCCGTCAGTTGTCACTGGTCCCACCAAGACTGGCACCTGCAGTCTTCCTTGTGAGTCACCATCCCAGAAAACATCACTTATCAAAGCAGATTGATGCAGTGGAATCATTTGGCATTCTTTTTGATAATGTGTATGATTGCCTCTTTCTGGGTACAAATATATGTTAAGCCAAGATATTGAATACAACAGTCAAACCACATTACACACTGGAATATAACCCTGTCTTTTTATAAACTAATGATCCTTTATCTCTCCATTTCTTTCTCCTTGTTTAAAATTTTACCTCATCCATCCCCATGTATGAGAGAGAATTAGATATTACTGTCGAACATGAGGATGGCCAGTAAGGATTCTGTTCTGCTTATGATCTCCAGTAATTCTGTGATCTCTATTGAATGGCACTGTATATACTTCTGAAAGGTCTGAATGGGTCTCCTGGTACTGCAGAGTATTGTAGCCCTGGTCCTGGAGTACTTGGATCTTGAGGGTCTAATTCCTGCTGATCTCTTTATTAGTGAGAAAAATCCTCCACCCTTATATAGGGGTTATTAATTAACATTTTCTCAGTACCAGTTTCAGGCGACAATCAAATCAAATCAAATCAAAGTTTATTTATCAAATGCACAACAATACGGCGTGCAGCAGTAATTGCTGGCAATGAAATGTCTTTTTCTGTGAGCTCACAAAAATTACAAGAATCACAAAAATCACAAAAATTCACAAAAACACAAAAATCACAAAATTGAGGTTACATTTTTTAAATTGAATAAAACTCAATCACTTTCATGCAGGTGTCTGAAATATAAGGCATTGGGCCCACACAGAAATTAAAGGCTTATTCTGCTTATACTGTGTCACTTGTGTCTATTTATCCTTAATTAGTTATTCTAATCTATTTAGCATTCCTTTAGAATAAGGGAACAGCATCTTGATAATGAAGCTCAGGTGAGCCTGAACAGTTATGGTTGCTCTGTCTTTTGTGACCAAAACACCTGCAACAGGATATTTTTTTTTAAAACAAGTGCAGGAACGGGTTGAAACAGTAATACTTCATTAACGTAGCTCGGTTCCAAAGATCAATTAGCTTTAGTGATTAAGAGACCATCTGGATTAAAAAACAAATCACAGTGGTCCTAATGGACCTGTGCAAAGACAACATCTGCAAATCCCCAATCTTTCATCTTTTACAGATGTCTTCAGTCAATACCTAAACATCCTATTAATCCAAACTAATTAAGTCTAATTGAACTAATTGGCTCAATTAAGTAACTAAAGGTACAAGCACAGTGGACAGAATGACGTGAGCTCAGACCAAATTCAATCCACTGCAGACACCATTCATAAACAATCTGGATAAACACAGCCTCTATGTTCCACTCCTAATTGACACAGTTTACAGGGCTATCTCAACAAAGGCACTTTCACAAGATTACCAAGCTTGTTGTGCAAACATTTTTTGGTACTTTTTAACATTATTTGAAAATTTACTTTAAAATTTGAAACATAAAATGTGAAACATCTTTGGTACTCAGAATTGTACTCAGACTTCAATCCCACCCATTCATTATCAGAATATCATTTTTCCTGGCAACTATATTTCAGTAGCAACACATTCCAAGTTGGACCAAGATCATACACCGGTGACCACCTTTGACAGGAAATACAGAAAGCAAACCTATCCCACAGGGAAGTAAGAAAAGCCCATACAACCACTGGAGGAACATACCAACTCCACATACTGTCCAGAATGAACCTAGGACCAAAGACGTGAGGCAGCAGCACTATCAAAGATGTCAAGTATTATTAATTATAAAATTAATTTTGACATACTTTTATTTGATAAATTCTTTAATGAGAACAAAACGTGCACAACACCGAACAAATAGAGCTCATATCAATTATTTCAATTTAACATAAGCAAGACAGTGATTCGATAGAAATTCCTCATCAATATGTAATATTAATATCCACAATACCTATCTATAATCTTCTAAATCTGAAAAGTTTTTTTTTTAAGTTTTAACATCCCCATTGAGTATGTGTACAGTATGCCTCTAAAAGCATGTAAGAGGTTTTTAGCCTTGCTTTGTTTGGTTGGTTTATCCCCAGTCATACAACAGAGAGGTCCTATTTCAGCATTATTTCTTATAGTGATTTTGCTCTCATTGCTTGCTGTTGGTGTGGATACTCACATTGCACTACATTCACTTCTACTTTATTTGCGCATGTCTCTATCATCCAACATAAATGTACTTTAAGTGCTTAGCTGGGAGGAAGATTCCTATAGTTCTCTGTGGCCCAGACATTGCTGAGCAAAAGAAAGGAATTATTTACTCATTTGAACCAGCTGAAAATCATTATTAGGTCAGGAAGGTCTTAGGTTGAGAAGGTTTACTAAGGTACCTTAGACCATATTATTACCATAGTCAAGTCTAGCAAAGCATGGTGAAAACATAGTGAAACAATAAGCACAAAGCAAAGTCAGTGCTAGTAGTGTGGTAATTGTTAGGGCTCTGGAATAATGACTGGAGTGCTGTGGGTTCAAATTTCACATGGAAAATGTGGTCACTGTACTCTTGAGAAATGTACTTTGCTCTAGTTGCTCCAGCAAACACATCTTCATAAATGATTAGAACCTATTGATTGTTTTTTACCAAAGTTTCAACTGTCTGAATTAACAATAATAAATATAAAGAAAATAATGTCTTGAAAAGATAAAAATTGTGATTTGCAAATTTTCCAATATAAAATCTCAGCAATTTCAGGTTCTTTAAGGTAGACAGAACTATTTCAACAGTTTCATGGGAAATGGGATGAGATGAGTGCCATTGACTCATGGTGACCCTGTGGATAGTTCCCCTGTCAGTATCCATAAAGTTTTTATGGCAGGATACAGAAGTAGATTGCCAGGCATTTCTTCCGTGCTAGTGCTAGTGCTAGTGTTGTTACCGTTGTCACTGAAATGTGATCCCCAGCCACCAACACTGCCCCATACTGCTGCTGCCCAGTGTGGGTATTAGAGAACCTTGCGCCTGACGTGGGACACAAACCTACTACCCTGAGATTATGAGTCTTATGCTCTACTAACAAAGCAGGTCGGGGCTCCAACAGTTTCATACAAATCATTTACTGAAAATGTGTTAACATGCTGTACTCTCTTTCCTGTTGGTCTTTGTGGTAAATCCCTCTGCAATCTCATTCTTAGGTTATATCAAATAATTTTATCTCCTGAAATATTGTA